CGCGCGCGCGCGCGCGCGCGCGCGCGCGCGCGCGCGCGGGGCGGGGGGGGGGGGGGGGGCACCACAACCACACCTTCGCGCAATCCCGGCGGCGGGCGTATGTTCTGACGGCAGGGCGCGTCCCTGACGGACGGACGGGTGCCGCGAATCTGCGCGCCCGCAGCACGCCGCCGCGTGCCGCACGCTGGTGGCACACTTTGCGCTCTGCTCTGCTCTGCTCTGTCGCCGTCGCCCCCGCCCTTTGACCAAACAAGGCGCGCTCGCGCAGCTGCAGCGGCCCTTTCCGCTGCTGCGGGTGTGGGCAGGGCGGCTCGCGTGTCTGCGTCGCCTGCGCCGACCAGTGCTTCTTCGCCTACGGGCGCGATGGCGGGCAGCCACGAGCGAACGCAGCGGGAGAGGTGAGGCGGCTCGCGTGTGCTCGCTACGCTTCCTCAGGCCGTTGCCACATGCTATTAGAGCGCGTTCTACGGGACGTCGTCTGTCCGTGGCGGCGGGTGCCAGTGTCCTGTCCCGTTTAAAGCAGCGCAGCGCAGCGCCGCCAGGCCGTCTCCTCCACGGCGCATCTCAGCACCGTCAATACGCCGTTGCCAATTAGGATTTTGCGTTCGAGCCTGCGAGCGCTATCCAGGGGAAGGGGGCGCTGCCAGCTGGGGACGGCACCCACTTCAGCCCGGTAGGGCCGACTTCCTTATCCCGCAAGTCGCACTCCCAGCGCCCGTCGCGGGATCCGAACCTTGTCGTCCTCACCGTGATCGCGAGCTCCTCGCGCCCACCCTCACCACCCCTCCTCCCCCCGCCTGTTCTCGGCCGGCATTTCGCTGGGACGTGGGCTGCCGATCCGTATCAAGAAGCCGGACTGTAGCCTGCAGAGCACCAGGGCAGCTGGGGGCCAGTGTGAAGCGAAGACGCTCTTGGGCCGCGCGAGGGCATGGCTTCGCGGGACTGGACTGGACTGGGCTGACGGAGCAGGAGCACGTAGCCAGCCAGCCGTCGATGCGCGCGGCGAATCAGCACGCTCGTACGTACAAGACACGACCGCGCCCGCGCAGAGCACGCTCGAGAACCCGAATGGGACTCCGCCCGCCCGCCTGCCCGCAGATGTCGGGGTCAGGCGGCCCGCTTCGATCCATATGATGCAAATCACCTCGAGAAGCGGCGCGCCTGAAGCCCCAAGCCTGCGTGCCCTGCGCCGACTCGCCGTGCCCCAGGCTCCCGCTTCGTATTGCGCCCGCCGCGTCTTCCGCCCGCCCGCCTTAGGCCCCTCGGGCTCGTTCTGCACCCGTGCTCGCGCGAGACAGCGGCCGTCCTGCAATGCGGACGGGCCATCGTCGTCGTCAGGCCGTGGTCCTTCGGCGGTGGTCCTTCGGCGGTGGTCCTTCGGCGGTGGTCCCTCGGCGGTGGTCCCTCGGCGGTGGTCCCTCTTTTGCGCCGTGCGTACGCCTGCCAGACGCGATCGCCGCGAACGGGGGTTCGACGCACCGACACACACCGTCAACTCGCCCCGCGTCCCTCGTCCTTCCTCGACGCTCAATCAGGCAGCCGACATGTACTGCCCTGGCAGCTCCATTCAGTACTATCGTCGTCCTTGCTTCCGGCGATGGTTGAACGACCCACGTGGCTAACTCACGCCAAGACGCCATGTCCCTCAGCAAGCATTCCTCGCTCCGTACCTGCATAGTACCGCGTCCACAATCCCCCCGCGTGGACGCTTTGCGAAAGACCCAGGCCCATCACCGCTATCTGGGCTCTTTGACCTCGAGGCCTCGAGGGCCAGCTACGGCGCTTACCCCCTGCCCAGCTCACGCCCCACGTTCCGAACGAGCCAGGCGAGCCTCCGTCATCCGCGGGCACGTCCACTGCCGCTACCGTCCACCGTCCATCCCGTCTCCCCAGGTCCTCGACCGCTAATTTGCCCAACCGAACGCAGCCGACTCTGCCAGAACCTCCGGACGCGCCTGGACCATGCCAAAAGACGAACTGTCCCCGCTCCCCATCCATCCTCCATCGACATCCATATTCATATCCTGCGCGAAGCGCCGCACTAGCCGCACCCGCGAAGCATCGAGTGCCGTACGAACCCTGCCCGCGGTTCGCAGCGCGTCGATTCGCAGCGCGAAGCGTCGCCCCAACAGCACAGTATGCGGCAGAAGCGTCTGCTCCGCCCCGGCATACCGATCGCACGCGCCCCGCGCTTATTGGGTAACCTAGTCCGTGCCAGTACTTGGCTTCGCCGCGCACGCGGTCGTGCTGTTCGCTCCCGAGTGCGCAGGCGGGTGGGCACACCTCAGCCCGGGTAGGGCGCAGTGTGTGGTGGGTGCTCGTCTTGGGGTGCTCGCCCGGAAGGCGGGCATTACGGTAGATTCTGACGTGGTCTGAGGGAAGGAAGGTGTCCTCCAGGCCAGGCTGCCGGCTGCCCGAGAACGCACGCTCGCCCCGATGGTCACAGTCATTGTGTGCAGGGCAGGCTGTCCGTGCGTGTTCGACGTCATGACTAGGTTCAGGGTGCTGCTAAATCCTCCATTTCCGCCAGCAGGGCGGACGTCCAGGGTATTATGCGGGCCCTCGCGCACGCGTGCCACTGTGCAGCCCGAGACGCTTCGTAGACTGAGCTGGGCCAGGAGCGTGTGTACGCACTCCTCGGGCGATCCAATGGTGTAGCTGTACCTATGGACCCATGTGCGCTGCTCGCTCGGGGGCGGGTCAAAGTA